TTAATGCTATTAAAAGGCTATATAACAGGTTTAAATGCTCACAAATATTTCATCCAGTAGAGGTAGTTAAATATTTAAAAACACAATTTCACGTGTCCTGAGTGAATCTGGAGCCCATCACAGAACCCCGGGACAACCTGACCGGCTTTGTCATGGGCTGGGTACTCCGGACAGCACTGACATACCTAGCAGGCTAGGAATACTGCCTGGTGGGTCTGGAAGCCTGAATGGCAGACTTTCTGTTTCAGGAAGGGAGCATGTAGCATTTCTGAACTGCTGAAGCCTTGGGTCTCCATTCCCCATCCATCAGCATGTCCCTAGTGGATACCATGTGCCAGGAGCTTGGGATGTGAAGATAAGCAAGTAGGGCAAGTAGCTGACTTTTCCCAGGAAAGAATGGCCCCAGGTCACACGGTGAGGAAGGAGGAACCCAGGGCTTGAACTCTGGGTATCCCTGTCACTATGCCTGCCTGCCAATTCTCAGCTATACAGGAAACATGAGCATTGCACAGGAGTATCATGAGGCCTTTGCATCAGGCGTGTATCTCTGAAACAGTCCTCAGAAGTTTGTGAAAACTAGGGTGGCTGATGCTTCTCCAGGGTGCTTCATCTGGACACAAGAGCACACAGAGGGAGGACCCTTTCCTGTTGAGACACACCAAGGCAGAAGAACCAGACTGGGCCTGCCTTCCTCCTGCTGCCTTGACCCTGGCTCCGGCAGGGAGGGCAAGGTGAGCCCACCAGCCTGGCCCGCGGGGCATATCCACCTGGGAGGACCCTTTGTATTTGGCCTGGCCCTGCCTCCGCAGTATATGCATATAGGCTTCGTGGTTGAAGGGCAAGCCCATCACAGAGCAGATATGAGCCAGGTCCCCAGCATGCTGGGCAACGCAGGACACCAAGTAGGCACAGGAAACACCTAGGTCAGTTAGTCCTTCCCTCTCTCCCACCATTGCCCAACCTTCCTGGGAGCCACGTGTGTTAACCATGCCTTTCATTTTCTGGATTCTGATACTGTGACATCGGGGGCCTTGCTGACTCTGGAGGGGCTGCCCCTCTCAGGGTTGGCTAGTTCCTGGAGATAGTGAACTATTAACCTGAGAACATGCCTTCATATGCAAACCACCTAATCCAGAGCTCCCACCCTAACCACCTCCTCTGCAGGCTCTCGCACTCTGGACCACTTGCCCTTATCACCCAGAGACAAGTGCCGGAGGACTACAGACAGCTCCTATGCCCCAGCACCCACTGAAACGTACACATTAGCCAACCCTAAACCCGCTTACCCAGCCTCAGTGTCCACTGTTTCTTCCTGTGGAAACTACAGTTTCCATGTCCCTCTGCCTCCTGACCCACCTGCTGCTCTCTGGTATCTTCCCCCTCTCCCCTGTGGCATGTTAGGGGGTGGGGGTGGGACCCTCCTTTTGAGATCTGTGAGGAACAAACTCCCTTTTCAATGACAATCATCTCCTGTTGACTTAACTCTACCTGGAAATTTTCTATTCATACACTGACTTTCAAATACCATGCTCCTCTCATCTGCCATGCTCTCCTCAGCACGGTCCACTCATCACACGCTCTCTGCCTGGGGTGCTGCTCCCACTTCTCTCCACCCTTGGGCTTCAGCGGGGGTCACTGACTGGGAGCCTCCCTGAGCTCCCTGACAGGCCACTCCCCATCCCCGAATTCACTATCATGTCACCACTGCCTCTTCACATTCATGGCCGATGCCCACGGATAATAGGTCCCACGGAAGTAAAGAGACCTGATACATGGAATGAATGAGCTAATGAATGAATGAATAGATGGGTGTATATGGAGCTAAGGGATGTCCAACTTCTTCAGCTTAATCCTCAGGTGCATTGTCCACTTCCCTGTCCAAGGGCAACATGTTCATATCTCCCTTCTCATCCACACCTGCCCACCCATGAGGAAGCTGCACACCCATGGCCCTGGTTCCTAAGCACCTGACCCTTTCAGTCTCACCCTGCCTAAGCAAATGGTTCTGAACCACCACAGTGTGCAACTCGGGGCAAACAATGAATGGGCCATGACACTAAAGGCTTAACTGCTGCTTCTCTACAGATCAAATTTATGTAGAGAACAGAGAGTGTTCTGTTTCTTAGAAATGGTGAACACCCAGAACTGTATGAGCAGGAGTATATTGTAACAGTGAAGGCTGAGAAGGGAAAATGTGCTTGAGATGGCCCACTGGGGAGTGTAGACAATGAGGATTCCATCCCAGGCTGTGACCAGAGCCTGAGTGCTGGGTGACCCTTGCTGAGGAGCTTGAGGGAAGAATGGAACAAAGAGGAACAGCTGAGTTTAGCACAGCCTAAGATGATCTGCCATTTCTCCATCTGGCCAAACTTCACCCCTGCTTCCTCCCCATGCCCTCTCTTCTTGTGCAGGTAGCTTTTCTTGAAGGAAAGAGGCAGGTCAGAAATTACTAACTTCTGAATATAAAATTACATTGCAATAATAAGTAAAGTATTGAACTTATAACTGCACACAGGTGGAAGATTCTGATAGGCCCATGGAGGTGCCCACCCTCCTCCTCTCTCCCTTTGCCGCTCCAGCCTCACCCCACACAACAAGAATCCCTGGTTTAGGTCAGATTTCAAACTGTGCTCTTGTGAACCATGCAGGCTGAGTTGAGCCCCAACTGTGGCCCCTCAATCAGCATAGCTCTGTGTTTGTTTGTTTTTAATACAAAAATGGCAATTTTATTTACTGGGCTAAATTAACAAAGGGTCCTACCACCAAAATGAGTGAAGGGCCATGGCTGGGTCAGTTGTTTCTGTGAGGATGGGGCTTTTTGGCCATATCTGCCCATCTTCCTCACCATATCCCACCATCCCACAGGAGGAGGGAGCCAATCAGTTGGGGGTATAAGCATCCTTTGACCCACATTCTCCCAGGGGCCAGGTGACTGTGGATAAAGACCAGCCACACACTTCAGGTGAGCACACCTGTGCAGGGCCTGCCTCCTGCTCTGTCCACCTAGTCTCATCCTCCAGCTCAGAGTGTACTGAGGCTTCCACTGGAGTTATGCTTCAGGGCCCTATTCCCTTCATCAAGCTCCTGTGGGGTTAGAGGGCTATATGGTTAGTACTGATATTATTAGGTTCCTGGCATTTATTACCAACTAGAGGCCCAGTGCACAAATTCGTGCAACAGTGGGATGCCTCAGCTTGGCCTGCAGAATTTGGTCGAAACCAGCTCTCTGGCATCCCCTGAGGGGTCCCAGACTTCAAGAGGGTGCAGGCCAGGCTGAGGGCTCCACTGGTGCATGATCAGGGCTGGGAAGGGATGCGGGAGGTTGGCCAGCAGAGCAGGGGCAGTGGAAGGGCTCCAGGGCATGTTCAGCCTGTATCACTCAGTTTCAATTGGCCACTACTGGTCAGAGTGTCTGCCCCCTGGAGGTCAGTGCATGTCATAGCGACTGGTCAACGGGTCGCCTATCTGGCCTCTGGTGGTCAGTGCACATCATAGTGAGCGGTTGAGTGATCTTAGCATATCATTAGCATATTATGCTTTGATTGGTTGAATGGCCCACTGGCTGACTGGACACTTAGCATATTAGGCTTTTATTATATAAGATATCCCACCTCCAACTTCCAAGAGTTCATTAAGTCTGGGGGCACAACCAAATGACCTGGGCTCCTCTTAAAAATACCAAGTCCTAGATTTTCAAACAAAATATGCTCATTGAATGTTCACAGCAGCTCATTCACAAATATCAAAAGATGGAGTCAACTCCAGTGCCCACTGATGGACAAACAGATCCACAAAATGTGGTTTATCCAGACAGTGGGACATTACTCAGCCACAAAAAAGTATGGAGCACTAACACAGACCACAATATGGAACCTTGGAGATGTTATGCTGAGTGAAAGATGACAGATATAAAAGGCCACATAATATAAGATTACTGTTATAAGAAATTCCAGCATAGGCAAATACACAGAGACTGAGAGTCTATCAGTGGTTGCCAGGGGCTGGAGAGAGGAAGGGAATGGAGACTCAATACTTCATGGGGTCTTCTTTTGGGGTGGTGAAAACGTTCTGGAACTATACATAGTGATGTAACTAATCACCTCTGAATCGTATACTTTAAAGTGGTTAAAATAGCATGTTTTATGTTACTTAGATTTCACCATAGCTTAAAAAATAGCAAAATCAATTCCCTATCCTTATTGCAAACCACAATCTGCAGGGGTGGGCCTGGGAATCTGTAGATTTAAGAAGCTCCACCACAAACAAAATAAAATGAAGCAGAATTTAAGACCTGGGAAAATCTCAGGCCCAACCTATCTGGGGCTTTTCAGGCCCGGGCTGGGGGACCTGCACTGGAGTCCACAGTGCAGTAAGCTGTGTATACTTACTGCACTGTGTATACTTACAGTGCAGTAAGTATACACAGCTTCAGGCTTAGGCTCATCGTTGCAAGTGACTGGCTGAGAAGTAGGTATGAGGCTTCATCGGAGCCGATGAGAATCAGGCTGGGATTTAGGAGACAAAGTCCTGGGAGAGAAAAGCTTGTTTTTGTTTTTTTTCTGGCAATTTGCTGGAGGTGAGAAGTGGGCCTGGGAGGATGGCAGATGATGGTGGGTGACTACTGAGCAATCTCGAGGGACAAGTTGGCCCTCTAAGCTAGGCTTGGGGACCCAGCAGCCACCTGACTCCAGTACTGGCCTCAAGGTGAAGTGACCCAGTCACACAGTGTGCAGGGGGGACTGAGGCTGCTGGAATCCCCAAAGTGCTCCTCAGAGGAAGGAGCTCTCTAGGAAGAGGGCTGAAGCACAGAGAGGTGCTCTGAGACACCAGGTTTGCTCTGAGAAAATAGTGTGTGGGAAGCACAAGGGCTGGAGCGTGAGTCATGTGGGGATTATTAGAAAGGAGACAGGAAAAGCCCCTAGCCCCACCCCAAGGATGCTGAAGGGACTGTCCCTGGAGATCTGAGAGTGTCACGGGGCCTGCCGTCTGCCCAGACTCACCTTGCCAGGTGCACACATGGTCCCATCCAGTGGGGGGCCCTTCTTGGTCTTGCAAAAGTAGGGATTGTCAGGGTGGCTGCACCACAGCTGCTTGCAGGGATCAAAGGTCCGGAACTGGAAGAGAACACCAGCCACTGGTCAGGGTGCTTCTCACTGCAGGGTCCCTATTCCCCAGAGGCCTCTTGGACAGTGTGCAACCGGCACAGCCTGACTGCCTGTGATGGCCTGTGTGACCAGTGGGTGCCCCGAATTCCATATGATTCTGAGGCCATGAGAATCTCGAGTGTGCAGCCTCTAATTCAAGTCCCTGTGGGGTAGTAGCCTCCCCAGCCTTCAACCCTTGATGGCTGCAGCACCCATGGAGCCTGGACAGACTGGGGAGCCAGTGACCCTGGCATGAGGGCTGGGTGGGCATCTCTCTGGCCCAGGAGCTGTCACTACAAGGCCCTAAGGCCCCTCCTGCCCCCCCGATCTGAACACTCCACCTCCTGAGTTTCTACCGAAGCCCTCGCCTCTGTTCCTGTCTTTGCTCCAGCCTTGACCTCTGGATCTCACAGTTACTTCTTTCCTGACCTTTCTGCTTCCTATCCTGAGAGCCCTTCCTCCAGGACATCTCTGAGGGATACGGCTGAAACTCAGACCTAGCCATACCACTCGCCTCTTCAAACTTTCACAGAGCTCCCCGTTGCCCACCACCTTCCTTAGACCAACTTGCAAGAGATTAGACAGCCTCTTCAGTACCCAGATCCACCACCTGCTCACGGTGTGGCCTTAGGCAGTTTACCTAACCTCTCGGGGCCTCAGTTTCCTCATCTGCAAAGTGGAAAACTTGGCTTACTTCCTACGTGGAGGTGGGATGAGCACTGATACACACTGCTGCTCTTGCCATACTGTCTCACACCTGGTGGGCCTCGATCCGCAAATACACTCAATTTTGATAACCTGTGTTGACGCTAATGGCTTTGCCTTGGCACTCAACCCTGGGGAACAACTATTGCTCCTTAGCATGCTATGTTCCTGCACCTCCAGGCCTTTGTGCATGTGATTTCTGCCTTCTGGAATGCCCTGTCCTCCCATTCAACCTTTACACCTTGCTTCTTCCTAGGGGAGCCCTCTTGAATTCTGCCGACCGCGCAGGGGCCATACCAGGCCCCCACCATCCCTCAATGCTCCCCAGGTCACTTGTCAGTAGCCCTTGTCAGCTGTATGCACCCTGCCCAAGTCTGGACAGGCAGGGAGGGCACTGTGTGTGACTGGGTGCAGAGGGAGACGCTGCCCCCAGGGTGCCGGCTCCGACACTCACCGCGGTGCACATCATGTAGCCCAGGCCGAAGTCGAAGCGGCACTGCTCGTTCATGGAGTAGTGCAGCCCGGGAAGCTGGGGCAGCGCCGGCCAGTCGTGGGCGAAGGGGTCATCCCGCAGGCAGTCATAGGAGCTGTGAGGGGACACGTGGGCACTGCAAGCTGCCTTCAGCCGGACTGGCCATCCAGTCTGTGGGGGCTGCTGAGGCCCCTTCTGGAGCTGTGATGATGGGCCTGTCTGCTGAGCTGCCTCAGTTTCCCTGCTGCATCTCTGCTTCTTGGTGTGACTACCCAGGACCTGGTTTGCCCAGATCCCAAGTATCCTTTAAAGGTGCTTCCCAACAGTGGGACCCCCCACACTGACCTGCCCTGTGCTTTCCCTCTCACCTCCCCTGCACCTCAGATTGGAGGACCCAAGGTCTAGGGGTTTGCACTGGGCCCAGAAGCCCTGGGACACGCACCCCAGGGGTTCAGGTTGTCTTCGGGGCACACGGGGGGTACTCACTGCAGGTAGCGGCTCAGCTCCTGCTGGCTGCAGCGGGACCAGTGGAAGCGGTGGAAGGCTGCCTGCACCAGGGGAGCCATGATGCTGCCCAGACGCACCTCGTCGCCGCAGCGGTTGCCCTGCCCATCGTGTTCCATGCCTAGCCTGTTCGGGGAGCCAAAGGAGCCTCATGCTGGCTGCACTGACCTGTCAGCTCTCCCCCACCCAAACGCTGGGTGTGCCCCCAACTTCCCTCCACTGGGCCCTCCTGGACCTTTGCTGTTTTGGTCTGCCCTCAGCCAGGTGACACCGAGGTCCCATAGGTAGAATCTGAAAGCCAGGGGCACTCTGGGGAGATGGCATCCAGCAGCATGCCCTTCAGTGTCCTGTCCCCAAGACAGGGGGCTGTGACATGAGATTGCAGTGGAGCCAGCTCTCCAGGCACCTTCTCGGCACACTCCCCACACAGGCCCGGCGGCCCCGTGGCGCTTCCCATCAGTATCTGCCCAGCCCGGAGATTTAGGTGGTGCCGGGGGCATGCACACCCACCTCTGGCTCTCTGCTCCAGGCCAGCCTCCCTCAAAGCCTCCGTTATTCATCTGTAAAGTGGGGTAATCCAGGGAAGATCCCCAGCACCCATCGCCCCTTTCTTTGATGTGTTTCCTCAACAGAAAGGAACCTTGGGTCTGCCCTGTGCAGTGCTGGGAGGGCAGGCCTTCATGTCCTCGTGCTTTTCATAGGGCTCTGTGCCTCTCAGGGCTCAGAGAAGTAGGGCCCCTCAAGCCCCAACCTTCCCCAGACAACCAGGACTGTGAGGCCACTTACACGTGGCCGGTCTCGTGGGCCACCACAAACGCCGAGGAGAAGCCGTCCTCATGGTTCAGGGTGCAACTGCGAACGGGGTGGCACATCCCGGTGACAGGAGCATAGCCTGGGAGGAGACAAAGGGTGGCTCCAGTTCCCAGTGACCTCACCAGCCCCAGATGAGCAGAGGTGGCTGTGTCAGGCTGGCACAGCTGAGAAGACTCGCACCCCGGGCAGCAGGCCTCAGTTCTGCCCCTCAGATTCCCAAGCCCAGATCTCTCCTGGGAGAACGTTCTGCCACCTGGGTACCTCCCACTTGCTATTCTCTTGCACATAACCTCCCACCTTCCAACTCTGCTGGGGGACCTGGAAGACCCCAGCTAGACCCACTTCCTTCAGACACAGAGGGCTGCAGCTAGGTGGTCCTCAAAGCTGCTCAGAGGCAGAGCCAGGCAATGCATGCTCATGGGCCGCCCTGCCCTGCTGGCCACAGAGGGGATGTGCCAAGCAGACCGAGTGCCGCAGCTGTAACTGTAGCTCCGAGCTTTGGCTGAGAAGACTCTGAGCCACATTCCTACCAAAGGGCCCCCTCCATAAGGAGTCTAAGGGAAAGGTGTGTCCAGAGATGGAGGGCAGAGAGTGGGACGGGTGGTGGTAGCAGGGCACATCCACCCTGACATTGATGCACAGTGACCCTCCAGACACCCCAGCCAGTCAAGTGGCTTTGAAAGACACAAATTCACAGACAACAGGGAGTAGACAGTGCATTTTGCCAGTCCATCGAAGCTGTGTGGCCCCGTGGAGCCCCACAGGATCAAGGCAGGGCTGAGGGCCTGGAGGATGAAAAAGCCTGGGGAGAGGACTGAGCCCTGCCAGGTTGAGCCTAGTCACTGTATTTTTTCGGAATTCCCAGGGAAGCCTCCAGAACCAACTGCACAACCTCTGACAGGGAGGAGTGGGTAGGATGCTCTACCCCATCTAAAACAGCAAAACCTGAAAATGGGGCCTGCCTTTGGGCCCTGGGCAAGATACAGAAGTGCTTATAGAGCTTACGGGGCCTCTGCTATGACACTTGGGCGGGGGGGTGGGGGGGGGGTTTGAGAGGCCCAAAGCCAGGGCCCCAGCTCTGAGCCCTGACCTAGTCTCACTCCCCTCCTCCCCCACAGGGAGATCCCAGGACAGTTTGTCCAAAGAGAAAAGTTGAGAAGAAGGGAAGAAAGTGCGATTTTAAATGTGTCTGTACATGTACAGAAATCTTTCCCCTTGGAATGAACACGGAAGTCTGTATCTTCAGTATTTTTTGTTCTGTGGATGCTGAGATGATTGTTTCTGACTCAGCGTGCCAGAGCAAAACTCGGGAGATCTTCCCTCTGTCCTTGGTATAGAAACCTTGCCTATGAATGTGCCTATGAAAGTATTTCTCATTCTCCCTGTTTGGCATTATGTGAGCCTGTATGATCTGAAGATTTGAAAAAGGGTCTTTATCTTTATATTCTTCCCTCTTATTTTACTTAGCTTCTGTTCACTTTCTGGAAATCTTAGATGCATATTGTACCTCCCACATTGTCTATGTCTCCTAACTTTTCTCTCATATTTTAATATTTTTGGATGCCTTTGACTTTTTACTTCAGCTTTTGAATTTTCTATTTTATCCATCGCATCTTTAATTTCATAAAAACTCTTCTTCATTCTCTAATTCTTCTTAGCAACCTGCTCTGGGTTTATAGGCATATTTTCCCAACATTCTTGGAATATTGCTTTTTAAAAAGTTCTTTTTCATTTTCTAAATTATCTGTTTCCTCTGGAGTCAGTTTTCTGATTTTGTTTTTCTATGTGGTCCAATTTTTTTTTTTTAATGTCTAGTAATCCTTGGCTGTCTTTTCACATTTTTATTTATTATTACCTATTTATTATTTATTTTTTTGGGGGATTAATTTTGTTGATAATTTTTTTAAACAAATGAAAACAAACACACACATATAGAATCTCTTCTGGGGGTGGTGGGGTGCTGGCCACAGGTGTTTATGGCTTCCCATGGAGGGTGAAGGAAAGAGAAGGAAAAGGTTTGCTTTGTAAAGACCAGCCTGCTTGTAAATCCTTGGTGTGCTTCTCAGATGTCATTCAGACAAACTGACCCTCCACTTCCTTTAGTCACTCCAATCTGTTGATCCTTTCACATCTTTATTTTATTTTTAAAATATATTTTTATTGATTTCAGAGAGAAAGGGAGAGGGAGATCAAGTCCACAACACGCATGTGCCCTGACCAGGAATCTAACTGTGACTTTCTTAATAGGTTGATGCTCAACCACTGAGCAACACCAGCTGGGCTCCTTTCACTTTAAAAAAAAAACACCCTCATCCAACGATATTTTCCCCATTGATTTTTAGAAAGAGTGGAAGAGAAAGGGAGAGACAAAGAGAAACAATGATGTGAGAGAGACACATCAATTGGTTGCCTCCTGCATGTCCCCTACCAGGGCCGGGAGATTGCAACTGATTTTGACTGGAATCAAACCTGGGACTCTTCAGTCCTCAGGTCGACACTCTATCCACTGAGCGAAACCAGCTAGGGCTTCTTTCACATTTTAAATGAAGGATGAGGTCACTTAATATAAAAGCTTCCTCTCCTCTGGGACAGTTTCATCTCCCATGGAATAGCTCTGCTGCCCATTAGCGCTCTTGCCTGGATGACAGGACTGACAGAGTGCTCCGATACTCAGCTGCAGACCTTGAAGGGGTGAGAGCAACCCCTTGATCTGCACTCAGTGGGCTGGAGTCACATTCCCTGTTCCCATTTGCGTCCCATTGTGGTGTTGAAAGGGAGCTAGTGTCAGAGATCGTTAATTAACATATAATAAATGAATCTTAGCCCGACCAGCATCACTGGAGAAGTCTCCCTAGTAATGCAAATATGGGCAAGTGGTCAGTACAGAGAGTGGAGTGAGTAGCAGAGAAGTGCATATAATAATTCAGGAAAGAAAGTGGTGAGAGGAATAAGTATAAATATGCTTGTGCTTATAAAAAGGATTACAGGAATGATCAACCAGAAACTAATAAAAATGCCTATCCATAGAGGTTGAGGTGGGTGAAATGAGTCCACTCCTCTGAATAATTATCCTATGCAATAAAAGCTTAATATGCCAAGTGTCTGGTCAACTGGTCAAAGTGTAATATGCTAATGATATGCTAAGGCTGCTCAACCACTTGCTATGATTTGCACTGACCACCAGGGACCAAACAGTTGACTGGTCGACCAGTTGCTATAACATGCACTGACCACTTGGGAGCAGATGCTCTGACTAGTAGGTTAGCTTGCTGCTGGGGTCTGGCTGATTGGGACTAAGAAAAGGAGCCAGACAGCCCTCTCCCACACCCTTCCTGGCTGGCTAACCTCCTGCATCCCTTCCTGGCCCCAGCCATGCATCAGTGGGATTCACCTGGCCTGCACCCTCTCAAAATCTGGGACCCTCAGGGGATGTCCGAGAGCCAGTTCGGCCTGATCCTGCAGGTCAGGCCAAGGATTCCACTGATGAATGAATTTGTGCACTGGGCCTAGTTCCTATATAGATTGCTCAAGCTTTCTTTTGAAGTGCAACATATGTCCATAAAAATGCACAAGTAATAAGGATACAACTAGATAATTATTGCAAAGTGATTACACCCACGTGGGTACCTACCTGGTCATGAAATAAAACTGTACTCACTCGGCAGAAGCCCCTTCTTGGGACTCGCCCCCTCCTCCATCCTCCCCTAACTTCTAATAACACAGATCAGTTTTGCCCACTTCCAAAGCTGAAGTAAATGGAATCCTAAGTACATATTCTTCTCTGTCAAGCTTTTCACTCAGCTTCCATGTATGAGATTCATCTCCAATGTGGCATGTAGCTGTAGTTCTGATGACCATGTGACTATATTTTCATCTGCTCCCCATTGACAGATTTAAGTTACTCTGTGTTTAAGAATTATTGTAAATAATGCTGCCCTGAATGTTCCTGCATCATCTTTCGGTGCACACATGCGTGCACTTCTGATGGGAGCACATCTGGGAGTGTCACTGCTGGGTGGGTTTTTGTTCAGCTTTAAACAATACCGCTGGACAGTTTTCAAAAGTAGTTGCATCAGCTGAAACCGGTTTGGCTCAGTGGTAGAGCGTCGGTCTGCGGACTGAAAGGTCCTGGGTTTGATTCTGGTCAACATCTTTTCATATATTTATGAATCATATATTTATGTTTTGTTAAGAGCCTGAGAAAGTCTCTTGTCAATGTTCCACTAGGTTATTTGATTATTATTATCATTGACATTGTCTTATTGATTTGTCAGAGTTCATATATTTCAGATATAAGTTCATTATTAGATACAGGATATGTACTATGAATATTTTCCCTCAATGGATTAATGATGCCATTTTTTTAAAATGTAGAGATTCATTTGTATTTTATTTATTTTTAACTTTATTTATTTATTTATTTATTTATTATTTTATATTTGAGCATACACATAGACTGGAATTCGTACATTCCATTCATAACTTTCTTGCCAGCAGGGGAAGGGAGGCCAAAGCCAGAAAGTCAATGACCAAGGGCAAAGTAGAGAGAGAGTCTGCTTGTAGCGGGGACTGTGATCTTCCAGTGGCCAGGTGCATGAGCACGTGAGCAGCTCACCCAGCAGCCTGGTGGCTGTCTGCATAGGACTGGGGTGCTGCCAGAGCCTGAGGTCACTCCCTCTCACAGGCGACCTTTATGGTTGTGGCTGGAAAAGGTGCCAGAGACTGCCAGGGTTTCTTTGGGCAACAGAAACACCCCATAGGTCGCTTGTGTAGTAGGTTTTTAAATTTTTATTATTATTATTTTATTGTTTAAAGAATTACATATAATATAACATGTCTCTTTTTCTCCCTGCATTGACTTCCCCCCATCTACCCTCAACCCCCAGCACATGCCCTCACCTCCTTAGTGTCTGTGTCCATTGGTTATGCTTATATGCTTGCATACAAGTCCTTTGGTTGATCTCTAAACTCCTGCCCCACCTTCTCACTGTAGTTTGACAGTTTGTCCAATGCTTCTCTGTCCCTGTATTTATTTTTGTTCATCAGTTTATGATGTTCATTATATTACACAAATGAATG